ATTTTTCCTAGATTCTGGTAAAATAGTTGTATAAGCTTTCTTTTTTCTTACAACACACACACACACAGTATTAGTACACATGACAGAAGAAGGTAGATGGATTAAAAAAAAAAAGAATCGGCTGTGAAGGTGGCTCAGTGGTAGAGTGCTCGCCTTGCATACTTGAGGCCCTGGGTTTGATTCTTCAGCACCACATAAGCAGGAAAAAAATAGCTGGAAGTGGCGCTGTGGCTCAAGTGGTAGAGTACTAGCCTTGAGCTGAAGAGCTGAGGGACAGCATCCAGGCCCAGAGTTCAGGCCCCACGACCGGACCAAAAATAAAAAAACAAAAAACAAAAGAATCTCCGTTGTTGGATTTGTACCTTTAATAGTCCATAAAACAAATTGTGGTTCACTTGAACATCAGAATTAGAAGAAAAAAGGGACAAGTATTGTGTTGGATTAGAACTCAACACTGAAGCAGTTGCAATTCACTGTGAAGTTACTATTGTAGTCATGAAAGTAAGTTCAACTTCATTTTAGGCATGGTGCTGATGACTAAAGAAATATTTGTAATGGGAATTTTTTACCTGACCCAGAAGTATTTCTTTATTTTTAACACAATTAGGAAAACACTTGTTTTCTGTAAATTATCTTTCCTTGATTGATTGAGGCTTGCTGGTTGAGTATTAAGTGTTTTGTTATAGAATATTAGTTCTATAGAGTTCTCTTTAGACAAAAGGCTGACGATTGTTACTTTTTTTCTTAGTTTTTTTTCCTTTAGTTGATTTTTTCAATATTTCCTTACAAATCTTTAAAATATTTTATGTATTTATATTTCCTAGTACTTTTTTTTGGGGGGGGTCCAGTCATGGGGCCTGAACTCTGGGCCTGGGAGCTGTCCCTCAGCTCTTCAGCTCAAGGCTAGCGCTCTATCACTAGCGCTCTACTACTTGAGCTACAGCGCCACTTCTTTTTTTTTTTGCTTGTGTGGTGCTGAGGAATCGAACCCAGGGCCTCAGGCATGCAAGGCAAGCACTCTACCACTGAGCCACATCCCTAGCCCTTCTTAGTACTTTTCTTAGTTGTAAGCTGAATGATGAATTTGAAGAATTTATGTCACTACAAAATTCTGTAATTGTTTTTTCATCCCTATTTGTAATCGGAAAAGAGATTTGCTTAAATTACCACCAGGTGGCAGCATTGTGTTTACTAACTTAGAGCTTTATCAATCCTCCCTGCATTTTTTTTTTTTTTTCTCTTCTTGCCATGGTCTTTCTCAGATACAGGAGGATTTTGAATTACCATCATGCATACACTGAACAGGCAACAGTGTGAAATTTTGAAACATAGTCTATGTTGTACCCAGGTCACAGGACCCCCACCAAGAAGACCACCCAGAGTCAGACTCTGCAGCTGTTTTAAGGTTTTATTTAGAGGGCTGCAGCCCGGGCCTTGTCCTACACTCCAACACAGTCCTACACTCCGACACAGCGGAGCCTAGGAGGAGAGCCAGAGCCTAGGAGGAGAGCCCCGAGCTAAAGATTTGCAGGGCTTTTAAAGGCACACAGTCAACCAGGTGTTTGGATTACCACCGCGCTGCTCTGCTAGACAGAATTTAAACAGGCAACAAGTGGTCATTGCCTCAAGACTTTAACCCTTCAGTCTATAGTATTCTACCTTCATACCCATAGTAGCTGTTTCCAGAACTAAGAAGACAAAGTGCTCTTTCTCCCAATTTGTATTAGTTTCTCTGACAAATATTGTTCATTTTTACTTTTAAGGCTCTCCCCCATCCTTTCTTTTGTGTGTGCTGGTCCTAGAATGTGAATTCAGGGTCTGGGCTCTGTTCCTGAGCTCATTTTGTTCAAGGCAAGCAGTCTAGCACTCTTCCACTTGAGTCACAGTTCCACTTCTGGTTTTTTTTTTTTTGTTTGTTTGTTAATTGGAGATAAGAGTCTCATGGACTTTCCTGCCTGGGCTGGCTGCAAGCCATGATCTCAGCCTCCTGAGTAGCTATGGTTACTGGTGTGAGCCTGGCTCTCTAAAGTTTTATTTTATTCATATGTGTAGCTGAATCCAAGCGAGAAGAGCAGTATATTAACCATTGTCCACATTGGTAAAATGGCACTTAGCCAATGCTTTGCATGTATGGTTGGATGAACTGTGAAGAAGACAGGGTAAACACACACAGAATGTATGTGAAGATGATGCCAGTTCATTTCATGATCATCAACTTTCGGTATATGAAATATTTTCTAACCCTTAGACTTCAATTCAAGTTTCACTTTTCTCTCTCTCAATAAGAAGATTTAATTGTTGGGTGCTGGTCGCTCATGCCTGTAATCCTAGCTACTCAAGAGGCTGAGATTGGAATATTGTAGTTTGAAGCCAGCCTGGGCAGGAATGTCTATGAAACCTTAATCTTCAATTAATCACCAAAAAGCTGGAAGTGGAGCTGTGGCTCAAGTGGTAGAGCACTAGCCTTAAGTCCAAAAGCTGAGGGACAGAACCTAGTACCTGAGTTCAAGCCCTAAGACTGGCACACAATAAAAAAGGTTAACTCATGGGCTGGGAAGGTAGCTCAGTGGTAGAGTGCTTGCTTTGTATGCATGAGACTCTGGGTTCTATTCCTCAGCACCACATAAGCAGAAAAAGTTGGAAGTGACACTCTGGCTCAAGTGGTAGAGCACTAGAGCACGACCGACCCCCCCAAAAAAGTTTCACTCAAATGCACATTTTTCAGCTTTAGTGAGTATGTGCACATATGTATGCTTACATGCATGTGTATATAATAGTTGTGTTCACTTAATCTATTGTATTGAGTGCTGTATTGAAGTCTGCTTTCAATGATACGTTCCTCCTGGACACCAGTGGCTCTGGCTGTAATCCTAGCTACTCAGAAGGCTGAGATCTGAGGATCGTGGTTCAAAGCCAGCCAAGGCAGAAAAGCCTCCTTGGCTCAAAGTGGTAGAGTACTAGCCTTGAGGCAAAAGAGTTCAGGGACAGGGCCTAGACCCTGAGTTCAAGCTTCACAACCACCCCTCCTATCCACCCTCCAAAAAAAATAGTTCCTGTAGTCTGTTATCTGAAATTGATCTTATCTGAGCCACAGATGTTATTATATTTTCACTCTGAATTCTGACTTTCATATTTAAAAACTCCTTCCTTATTTAATTTAGTTTGGCCTAAAATCTCCTTTGATCTAGAATTTTTCACTCCTACTTTATTTTTTTCTATATGACTAGTATATGTCCATTTCTGTACTTATAGGTAGTTTCAAATAAGTATTCTGTTGTCTTCTAATACTGAACTTGTGATTTTATTTGTGCTACCTGTTGAATTTACTAACTTATTTGTTGGTGAGGATATATGCAAAGATCTAGGTGCCATTATCGTCCAGTCCAAGTACCTGATTTCTGTATTGTTGATATAAATCGCTGCTGTAGTTAAGGGAAAGCCCTTAAAGTCATTTGGTACATAATCAGGCAGACATGTGTGCTCACATCAACTCATCTTGGTTGTCTTCCTGTATTCATAATTTTGTATGGCTCCTGTATGATATTTAGAATATCCAAATGGCCCTTGGCAGAAAAAAGATTTCCCTCCTTTGTAGCTTATATTTTCTCTCTGTAAAATCTCTGAAGTCAAATAACAAGCAAGTTGTGATGATGCCCTGGGGTATATTCAGACTATTTTAATCTTTTCTTATCCTTTCCAATGCTAAACTTTTATGTCATTGATGAAGACAGTTTATAATATCTCATCTTTCTTAATATTTGTAGTTAATACTGACTGTTCAGTAAAACCTTAGCCTTTACTTCTGTGTCATTAGAGGCTAATGCAACTGGATGTTATTCTGACAATTTAATATTTTGATGGTGTGTATTCCAGGAACAAGAATGATAGATTTTAGTATATTGCTTTTGTAAAATTATATTTTTATTATCTTTAAATAGTTGTACAAAGGGTTTCAATTGGGGGCTGGGAAGGTGGCTCAGTGGTAGAGCGCTTGCCTTGCATGCATGAGGCCCTGGATTCGATTCCTCAGTACCACATAAGCAGAAAAAAAAAAGCCGTAAGTGGTGCTATGGCTCAAGTGGTAGCGTGCTAGCCTTGAGCTGAAGAGCTGAGGGACAGCACCCAGGTCCAGAGTTCAGGCCCCACAACCAGACCCCCCCCCCCAAAAAAAAGAAGGGTTTCAATTGAACATGTCAGTTTATGGCTACAATGCATCTTGATAAGTATCACCTACATTGTTCTGATATTTTATTTGCATAAAAATTTATCCTTTGGGGCTGGGAAGGTGGCTCAGTGGTAGAGCGCTTTCCTTGTATGCATGAGGCCCTGGGTTCGATTCCTCAGCACCACATAAGCAAAAAGAAAAAAGCTGGAAGTGGTGCTGTGGCTCAAGTGGTAGAGCACTAGCCTTGAGCTGAAGAGCTGAGGACAGAGCCCAGCCCCACCACTGGACCAAAACAAAACAAAACAAAACAAAAAATCAAAAATTTATCCTTTGACTAATGAATAAATCAGCCATTCAGATACAGCTCTTCTATTTCAGGTTGAGTAGACAGTGGTTTATTAAATCTGAGTTACCTCATTTCATTGATTCTTGTTGGGGCAGCCTGTTCTTTCTAGCTCCTTTCATCACAATTTAAGAACTGAAAAAAAAATGAGCATTGTTAAGGTATATCTAATGTATCATTTGTGTTCATCTGAATCCTTTTCTGCTTTCCTGTAGTTTACAATAGAGTAAGTTTTTTGGTTGCAGAGGCAGGTGAAACCTCAGGTAGAAGTGGCTCAGTGAGGCTTAGGGTAGGGAAGCCAGACATCTTCTATGTGTGTCCATGAATTTGTAGAGTTTTTTTTTTTTTTTTTTGTCGGTCATGGGGCTTGAACTCTGGGCCTGGGCGCTGTCCCTCAGCTCTTCAGCTCAAGGCAAGCGCTCTACTACTTGAGCTACAGCGCCACTTCTGAATTTGTAGAGTTTTTAAGGAGAAAGATCTTTTTTTTTTTGAAGTGTATATTTATTATATTTCTAAGTAGTTGTACAACAAATCCATGACAAGTTACCAGATTCACTTCATGTTATTTCTTTAGGATGAGGGTTTTTCCAAGACTTCAAATTTGGGATCTTCAAATTTGAAGGTGGGGAACGTCGTCATGTCTCCTTTCCCATACATTTGTTGAAGTTTAAAAATCTCTCTCTCCAGGTCTTGCTGATACTCTGGGCCAATATCAACAGGTCCTTGAGATGACTGTCGCTTTGCTTTGTACTCTCTAATCTTGTCCACAAAGAGTTTCTGTATAGGATCAAGTTCCTTATTAAATGCCACAGCTGTAACACCAATGTTCCTCCGCAAGTGGACAGAGACTGCTGACCAAATGACAGAGGAGAATCTGAAGAGTCTCTGAAGAATCATGGTGGTTCGGACAGGAAGCGCCTCCGAGACTGTCTGTGATCGGACCGCTCTCGAGAAAAATCTTTAAAATTCTTTTACTGTATAAGTTAAATGTACAAAGGGGTCTTAATTTTGTTTACATGCATGCATATAATGTGCTTTGATAAAATTGTGCCCCGCCCCTTTTTTTGGTCCATTGTGGGGCCTGAACTCTGGGTTCCTCAGCTTAAGGCAAGCACTCTACCACTGAGCCACCTTCCCAGCCCGTACATTACTCTTTCTTAGTAATACCAGCTAGCATTCACTGAATATTTGCAGGTCTAGGTATTCTAAGTGTTGACACATATGAACCTCTTAATTCACACACAAATAACTGAGTGAGGTTGTTTCCCTTATTTTACAGTAGAGATGATATTAGTGGTACAGACTGTTGAGTGATGTGGTATGTGGTGAAGTTGGGATTCTAGTCCTGGTAGTCTAGTTGAAGGCTGCTGCTCCTGCTCCTGCTCCTGCTGCTGCTGCTGCTGCTCCTCCTCCTCCCCCTCTCCCTCCCCCTCCAGCCCTTTGAACTCAGGGCCTGGCCACTGTTCCTGAACTTTTGCTCAAAGCTAGCACTACCACTTGAGCCACTTCCAGCTTTTTCTGTTTGTGAACACAGGCTTCATGCATGCTAGGCAAGCATTCTACCACTAAGCTACATTTCCAGACTGCATGTTCTTAATCATTATGTTGTCCTCCTTGAGATGAGAAGTGTGTCTTTTAGCAAATCTGTCATTTTGTTACTGCCAACAAACTATATCTTGGTGTATATAAGAATTCAGGAAACTCTCAGAGGAAAATGAGGGAAAAGATCTCAAGATAAAAGACTTGGAATTTACAAAATGTTAGATAGGAACATTGTTTTTGCCAAATGACCACTGAAGTGGAGGGAATAAAAGGTGTTATAGAAAGCCTGTATGTTAACAAAAAGAAAAGGAAATGTGGAGAAATTAAATGGAACTAGTGACAATAAGAAGTTGAGGAAGATGAAAGCATTTAATAGAGAGTAGAAAGAAAATAAGATGAAAAATAAAATGAGGTATGTTTAGGATATTAAATTAAGTCAAAATGCTTTCAGAAGTCCTATATTAGACAGTTTAATGGTGTGCATGTTTGTGTTCAGTGACAAAAGTTGAAAATGAGTGATTAGACAAAGATAAACTAAAAATGCAAATAAAATTAAGTAAATGTAGTAATATTAATACATAGGTAAAAATTACCAAATAGATCAAGGACTGGTATCATGTATTTATAAATTACAATCCTTGAAGACCCCACAAATCTTTTTATACATTGCAGTTAGGAAAAAGCAAATGCACTAAGAAATACAACTTTATTAGAAGAAAATTATGAGAATTTAAAAATATCCCTTTCCATGTTTGACATATTGTCAAGAAAATAAGCAAGGATTTTAAAGTTTTGAATAATGTAGTCAAGAAGCTGTAGATTCACTAGGATTCATTTTGAGAATAGAACATATTTGAAAATGTATTGTAGCCATCTGAGAAGTGAGATTAGAAGAAAGAGAAGAATGTGAGACATAATTTGTGGGACTAACCAGGAGTCCAGTGAAGAGAAACAAGGATGGTAACTGAGGAGCATTCCTAGAGAACAGCGCATTCAAATTTAAATGACAAGTTAGTAGGATCCCAGGAATTAAAAATGAAGTGGATTCTTGGAAGTGGTATGACATAATATAATATGATTAAACTGAAAAGTATTAGGGATATAAGAAGAAAAGGCCCACAAATCTTATCTATAATAGATAAAATAACATCAGAAAAATTGTGCAAGTAGGACGTTTCAAATGTAAAACTAAAATGTAATATAAACTGGGAGTATTTGATGAAGTACACAAAGCATGAAGTACACTTGAACTGGACTCAGGAGATACTTAATTTGGGGGAACAATATACCTAGCCATTGCAGTGAACTGTATTTACGGTCTTTTTTTGGGGGGGGTCTGGTCGTGGGGCCTGAACTCTGGGCCTGGGTGCTGTCCCTCAGCTCTTCAGCTCAAGGCTAGCGCTCTACCACTTGAGCCACAGCGCCACTACCGGCTTTTTTCCTTTTTTTCTTATGTGGTGCTGGGGAATCGAACCCAGGGCCTCATGCATGCAAGGCAAGCGCTCTACCACTAAGCCACCTTCCCAGCCCGTATTTACAGTCTTTATGAAACTAAGTACTATACTTTTCAACTTTTACCATTTGTTTATAGAAGCATGTTATCTTTCTTCACATTCATGAAACATTTAAAAACTTGTTACGTATTTTATTACAGAGAAAACTACTAGGATATAAAACATGGTGCAGATTGGTAGCAACTAACAAAAAACTGAATAAAAGATGGGGTTTTAGAAAATATGTAATAGTGCATATTTGGAAAACAGAAAGTTAAAACTGATTCTAGAGGTTATCTAGTATAATGAATGCTGTCTAGTATGGTAGCTATCAGCTACATGTTACTATTAAAATTAATCAGAATTAAGTATTTTAAGGGCTTAGTACAGAGGTTTATGTGTGCAATCCAAACTACAGGAGGTAGAGATTAGGAGGATAACTGTTTGAGGCCAAATCAAATAGAAGGTTAGCAAGACCCTATTTCAGCCAGATGAGGTAGCTTACATCTATAATCCTAGCTACTCAAGAAGCTGAGATCTGAGGATCACAGTTGAAGTCAGACCAGGCGAAAGTCTTTGAGACTCTTATTTCCAATAATCCACTAAAAAAGATTTCTATACTCTGGAAGTGGAGCTGTGACTCAAATGCTAGAGCACTGGCCTTGAGTGAAAATGCTAAGGGACAGTACTGAGGTTCTGGGTTCAAGCTCTAGTATGTGCTGGTGTGTACACACATACACACACAGACACACACACACAGATTCTATTTCAACAAATAAGTTGGATGTGATTGTATGTTCCTGTAATCTCATGCAATCCCAGCTATGCAAGCCATAGATAGGAATATTGCTGTTTGAGGCTGGGCCTAGGCAAAATGTGTGTGACTCTTGACTAAAAAATAACTAAAACTGGTAGAATGCTTGGCCATGCCCTGAGTTCAAACTCTAGGAATACAAATAAATAAATATATGAATAAGGTATTTTAAAAACTGAGGTCTTCAGATGAACTAGGCTTATTTCTAGCTACCTATGCTAATAGATACAGCTACCTGTGGCTAATGCTTGTTATATTATGTGTTTTATATATATATTTTATCCTATTGGAAAGCAGTCTAGCAAATAACTCTTATGTAGAAAGTATTTCAAAGGTGAACACTTTAGATTGAAGGAACATAGCTAAACTAGTATCATGTTAAAAATGAGAATATTTTTATTATTTACAGTAAAAAGATGAAAATTGGGTACAGTAATGAAAAAATCAAAGTAATACTGAAAATAATTAGATCAAAATAAAGCAAAATATAGAGATGCCAAGAAATGATTAGAAAAATATATACATTCAGACTAATTGTTGAAGAGCAAAGTAAAAGTCGAATATTGTGGCACATTTGTATAGTTTGAGCAGCACTTAGATGGAGACAAGAATTGAGAGTTTGAAGCCGGGCGCTGGTGGCTCACGCCTGTAATCCTAGCTACTCAGGAGGCTGAGATCTGAGGATCGCGGTTCAAAGCCAGCCCGGGCAGGAAAGACTGTGAGACTCTTATCTCCAATAAACCACCAGAAAACCGGAAGTGGCGCTGTAGCTCAAGTGGTAGAGCGCTCGCCTTGAGCTGAAGAGCTGAGGGACAGCGCCCAGGCCCAGAGTTCAAGCCCCACGACCAACAACAACAAAAAAAAAAGAATTGAGAGTTTGAGGCCAGCCTGAATACATGTCAAGTTCAGGGCAGGCAGGGAAACTCTTCTCAGAAAATGAAATAAATACAATAAATAAATAAATATAAAAATGTATATATTAGTCACTGTTTTGAGGTGATATTCCACCTGAATTACATTTATCCTCTAAAGATATATTTCACTCTTGTTATTGAAATAAAACAATATAAATATGGGCCGGGAAGGTGGCTCAGTGGCAGAGTGCTTGCCTTGCATGCATGAGGTCCTGGGTTCCATTCCTCAGTACCACATATGCAGAAAAAGTCGGAAGTGGCGCTGTGGCTCAAGTGGTAGAGCACTAGCCTTGAGCTGAAGAGCTGAGGGACAGCATCCAGACCCAGAGTTCAGGCCCCATGACCAACAATAAAATAAAATAAAACGCAAACAATGTAAATAAATAATTTTGAATTCATTTTTCTGAAGCTGGTATAAGCTCAATGCCAGGATTTCTAAAGATAATTTTTAGAAGGACAAACTCTTGATTCAAGAACAGAATTTTAAATATTAGCTAATATAGTTCTACCAAATGAATAACACTTCGTTGGACTATAAGTAGGCATCATTAACATTATTTATTGGTTTAAAGGAAAAAAGGCATGATATTCTAGATGTAAGAATAATAGACTAGTAAAATTAGTCACAAAATATGGGACTGATGACAGCACCACCTGGAGGCTGGTAGGCTCAAGGACTGTTTTAATATGTATAACCCACTGAAGTAGCTGGCACATATAAATTATTCAATGTTTGCTGTTTTTATGTGCATGGTAAAATTGATTTGCAAAAAACAATGGCAGATACTGCTTTGAATGGCAAAAATTTTTCATTAAAGTTATGGGCAGAACAGTTATTTGTTATTAATCTTTTTTTTCAAGTTGTTATTTTGTGAAATGCAGTGGAAGTTGAGAATGAAATAAGTACTTGAAGAGAAAATAGTTATTTAAAATTACACATTACCTGATTGTATACCTAAAAACCCTGTCGGGCACTATGATGTGATCCTGTAATGCTTGTGGTATATGGCTGTAATCCTAGCTGCTCAGGAAGCTGAGATCTGAGGATCGCGGTTCAAAACTGGCCTGGGCAGGAAAGTTCATGAGACTCTTTATCTCCCATAAACTACTCAGAAAAATCTGGAAGTGGCGCTCTGACTCAAGTGTAGAGTGCTAGTCTTGAGCACAAAGAGGCTCAGGGAAAGTGCCCACGCTGAGTTCAAGCCCCAGGACCAGCGAAAACCAAAACAGACAAAAAGCCCAGTAAAATTAGTGTGTGTAAAGGTTTTAATACAGTTATGGGTAGAAGCCTAATGCATTGTTTTGGTAACTTAAATAAGATGATTTTAAGGTTCATGAGGAAAGAGTATTTGTAACAATGCTAAAGAAAATATGCTGTGTATTTCATCCAATTTTTGTGGGAACGAAATCCAACCTGTATTTATGACCTTTCTCCTGCACCTCAGTGAGGAACCTATGGAGAGCTAGTCACAGAGAAGATTGCTCTAGTATTCCTTTATAGGGCTTTGCCTTGTACCCTTGTTAAAAGGGATGTTATTTTTCCTTGATTTAATGGAAGACCTAATAGAAAAGATTTAATGACTTCTTACTCTAAATTGAAATCTTATTTCTGTTAATCTGAAAAATGAGGCATATTATTGGTTGACATTAACAAGTTTAGCTGAATTTTTAAATTAATGCTACAAAACCAGAATGTAATCCCTTTTAGTTTTCCTGAATCTCAGTGCTTTCTAGAACAGGAAGAAGAAGAAGATGATGATAATAGGATGATTTTATGCGGGTCCTAGGGCTTGAACTCAGGGCCTGGGCACTGCCTTTGAGCTTTTTGCACAAGGCTACCACTCTGCCACTTGAGCCATAGTTTCATGTTTGGCTTTTTTGGTGATTAGTTGGAGATAAGTCTCATGGATTTTCCTGTCCAGGCTAGTTTCAAACCACAATCCTCAAATCTCAGCCTTCTGAGTAGCTCAGATTACAGGCATGAGCCACTACTGCAGGGCTAGGAATTCTGAAAAGGATTTTCTGTCTTCTAAAATCTCCCCTGCTCTATTTTTCTCAAAGGAATGCAGCCACTGATGTATTCGGTTCGGGAAGCACTAAATGCCAGACCCTGGTGGATGCGTGTAGGAAGTGATATCTGTTACTACAAGTAAGCATTCTTTATTTTTAAGGATTTATTTTACTGTAACAGGATAAAATAGGAAGAAATGGGAGGTTAAAAAAAAAACCCTACTTCCTGTCCTTTGGAGGAAATGGGAGTAGAAACTAATGGTGGTTTCTGTTTGTGCCTGTATGTTTTCTGAGTTGGGAGGTACAGGTGATATGTCCTGTAGCAACTCCCAGTCCTTGTCTTTCCTGGGTAAGGTAAGTGTGGCCTACCCAGCATGCAGGACAGTGGGTAACCTTCAGGAATTCCTTTTGCCACTTACGACTTTTAAGGAACCTTGCAGTTTCTTCACATCTCAAAGGAGAGGAGATAGATGTAGATAAGCCCTTTTATGTCTCCTTATTCTTCTTCTTTAAAAATTTTGATGTAAAGGTGCTGTATAGAGGGGCTACAGTTACTTAAGTAAGGTAGTGAGTACATTTCTTGTCAAACATTGTTTCCCACTCCTTCATTTTTCTCCCAATATCCCTCTCCCTGCCCCTGCCCCCGCCCCCCAAGTTGTAAAGTTCATTTCCGTAGTGTCTTATGAGTATCACTGTTGCATTGGTTCACCCCTTTGTCCTTGTTTCACCATTTTGCTATTCTCCTTCCCTTTCCCGAATCAGATAAATAGTTAAACATATATACAAGATACAGGGTACCAGAATCAACAACAGTGACTACTGGGGACAAACCAAAGGGAAAAAGAAATAAAAATACAAAGAAAGAATTTGGTAGATGCTGGCAGGGATGTGGCCAAAAGGGAATGCTATTACACTGTTGGTGGGAATGCAAACTGGTTCAACCACTTTGGAAAGCAGTATGGAGGAACCTCAAAAAGTCCTCAAAAGACTAAACATAGAACCTCCCCTATGATCCAGCAATCCCACTACTGGGCATTTAACCAAATGATCACAAGCAAGGCCACACTAAAGGTACCAACACAACTATGTTCATTGCAGTATTATTCACCATAGCTAAGATATGGAACCAAATGAAATGCCCCTCAGTAGATGAATGGATCAAGAAAATGTGACACACACACACACAAATTGGAATGCTATGCTTCCATCAGAAAGAATGACATTGCCCCATTTGTAAGGAAATGGAAAGACTTGGGAAAAATTATATTAAGTGAAGTAAGCCAGACCCAAAGAAACATGGGCTCCATGGTTTTCCTCATTTGTAATAATTAGTATATGTCTAGGGTAGTCCTATCAGAAGATCACATTAACTCAATAGCTGTATACATATGACCATATAAAATGATGCTAATTGAAATGAACTCCCAAGATACAGAAACAAAAGGTCTTTTTTTTTTGTTGACCTTGTTATCAATATGTCTCCTTATTCTTATACTTGAAATTAAAAAGGAGGTGGTAGAAGGGAAGTAATGGCTCCTTCAGTTTACTTTCTGATTCTAATTCCTGTGTGTGACTTTTAATGTTACTAAAAATAATCTAGTATTTCCCTGACCTCCTTTATTTATCCTGCTTCTTTTACTCCCTGAAGAACTTTGGTCCATTTTAGATTTTAAAGAAATTCAGAGGATCAATGGTCCATTTTCAGTAGCTGCTCCTGAGCTGATTGAGTGGTAGTGGTTCTCCCTTGGTGAAATGGGAAGTTTAATTGGCAGGCTGCCATGATCAGGATCAGAAGACCTGAGTTATTCCTTTATATTCATCTGTTTTTAGATTTAATTATCTGTGGTTTGTCAGTGATGTCCTGGCATTGTAAAGGAATGCTGCTCAGGCTACTTTGTTAGCAATTGTACCTCAGAAATATTTTCCATGAGTATGATTGTAAACATACTACAGAAGAGTCTAAATTTGTGAGATTCAACTCCTGATTCAGGCTCTCTGATTTGTCACTGGATGATGGATGGGTGGGAGGGTATACTCTCAGCTTCCTAGTTTCCACACAAAATTACAGACCCTTGTGATGCATGCATTAAAAAAAAAAAAAAGCATTTCAAGGGGTCTTACAAGAAAGAGGATCTCACAAGGTAAAAAAATTATCAGGGATTTGTTTTGGTATTACCCTAGGCCCGAAGACCAGTGCCTAGGTTAGGTCTGGCTTAGGCTAAGTTGAATAGTCATGGTGAAGGGCAAAAAAAGGAAATTTATTACATGGCAGCAATAGGAAGACAGCATTTTAGTACATTTTCAGCAGTCTTCTGGGAATACTACAGACATTGGCTTCAAGCTAAAAAGAAAAATCGGAGGCAGGGGGTGAGAAAGGTGTGTGCCATAGTTAAAACAGTCTCAGGTCACAAGTATGGCCTGGTTGACCGTTAGCCCAGTCTTTGTCCTGGAAGGAGTTTCAGAGAATTGTTACTATCACTTTACCATTGAAATGGTCATCAATCTCAGAGTTTGGGGCTGTTTACTTTACCATAATACAAAGGCATTGCCTGTTTGAGGGAAGTTTGCCTTTCACACAAGATGCATGTAAGTGAATTTTCTCTTTATTAGAGCCCAAGGAGATTGCAAAGCAGCTGCAACAGAGAATTGTTCAGATCAGAAGGCACAGATACAAGTTGCAGACTTTCAGTTAATCCACAAGCCCATCTTTTTAAGTTGCTTTCATAGGATAAAATAGAGAGGGATGGGAGAAGTGGGGGAAGGAAAAACATTTCTTGCTCCCTGTCCTGGAAGTGGGAGTTAAAATCTCCTCCCCTATTAGTAAGTATTCTAAAAATGAGACACCAACTTGTACAAGAGGATACTAACTTCATTATATTTTACTGTAACGATAGAGTTGAATTAGCATTATATTCTTTGAACTGGGGTGCCTTGCTTTAGTAACTTTGAAGACTCCTTTAAATTTAAAATCCAAGTATAGATAGTATTATGTAATAGAAATAAAATGTGTTTTATAAACTGATTTAGATCTAAACCTTGTCTCTATAATTTAGTTAGCTGTCTTTTTTAAGACAAATTTTTACTCTTGTAGCACAGAATGAGTTAAAAGTCATCATGTTTATGCCTACCAGAGAATTAGGTTTTATATTTTTTTCCTGATGGTTAGTATATAGCTTCATTTAATTAGTAAATATGGAGGTGAAAAGTAATGTTGTTGGCTACTTTATTAGTAGTAAGTTTATGTTGTCTAGACTGGTTACATTAAACTTTTATAGACTGAATTTTTCTTTTTTCTTTTTCCTCTTAAAGTTCTAATTGATAAAAGTTGTGAGAAAATCAGAACTTCGAAGTGGGGAAAGTAAACATGCTTTACATTTTCAATTACAGAAATCACTTCTCAAGAAGTTCAGTTGCTGCAGGTGGGCAAAAGGGAAAGTCCTACTATACGATGACATTCACTGTCACTTTTCCACATAAAGATGATGTCTGCTACTTTGCTTATCACTATCCATATACATACTCAACTTTACAGGTGAGAATTCTGAACTAAATTGTAGTATGATTGTATTTGTGTCTGATAATAAAAAGAAGTTTTTAATTAGATGTGATAATAAAGTAAGAAAAAGGTTTATTGCCAGAAGTTTTAGAAAATACTACTGCATTTATTAGAAACATTAATGGGAGGGAGGAAATGGGAATGTGGTCCTTAAAGAATTATGAAGGATATTTAATGTGATTTTTACTTCCCATTTTTTGTAGAAATCTGTAGCTCCTTAAACTACGATTCATGATTTGCAAAATTTAATGGGGTTTTATTTAACCAGAAGCATTGAATCTCATAAAATGTAAGAGTAGAAAAATGTGGGTGTAATTTGAATTTTTCATGGGAAAAGATCAAAGTTTTATTAGTAAATGGTCCCATTATATAGTCCTAGATCCCCATTCCTTAGTATATTTTTTTTTCTCCTTTAGATTCTTTAATATTTGCATTGTAAAACCAAAGTAAACAAACTGAATCAATTAATTAAATGATCAACTGTGGTAGATTTATTCTCAGAATAAAATATCCTAATGGGCAGGGCGCTGGTGGCTCACACCTATAATCCTAGCTTCTCAGGAAGCTGAGATCTGAGGATCATGGTTCAAAGCCAGCCCGGGCAGTCTGTGATTATCTTCAATAAACCACCAGAAAACTGGAAGTGGCGCTTGGCTCAAGTGGTAGAGCTCTCACCTTCAGCTGAAGAGCTGAGGGACAGCACCCAAACCCAGAGTTCAAGCCCCACAACCAACAACAACAACAAAAATATCCTAATGGTCAATGTCTTGAAGGTATGAGCCATTTACTAAGAAAGAAAGGAGCCCCCAAGGTATTAGAGAGAGGAAAAGGAATAGACTTAATCAGGTCAAAGACACTTGAAATAGTATCACTATAGTTTTTTTGTTGTTGTACTAAGGTACAACAAAGAACTGAGAATGTGTACTTGCTTATGCAGGCAGTTTACCTCTGAGTCATACCTCCAACTCTTTTTGCGCTGGCTATTTTTGAGATAGGTTTCCCTTTTTGGCCTGTGACTGAGTTCTTCTGTTTACACTTTCTGCTGCAGCTGGGATGATAGACATTTATCATCACGCCAGCTTTTTATGTTGAGATGGGGTTTCACAATTTTTTTATAGGGGGGAACCTGGATTGTCCTGGAACTTTGATTCTCTCTATCTTAGCCTCCCCAGTAAGTGTATTGTAGATTGACAGACATATATGCCACCAGACTCAGCTGTTAGTTGAGCTGGGCTCTTGCAGTCTTTTTTAGTTAGTTGAGCTGGGGTGAGCTCTTGCAATCTTTTTTTTTCCAAGCTGATTTGAACCAAGATCCCACCAATTTTGAACTCACAAATAGCTAGGATTGCAGTTGAGAGCTACTGGTCCAACTCATGGTATTTTAATAAAGATTATAACCTATAATAAATATGTGTGTTTGTGAATCTTTTGCATTGAATAATGTAGCATCAGAATAAATACATCTACTTTGGGTTGTTCATCCTAGAAAAAGAATGGTATTTGTAATATCTTTGTATATCTTTGAACATTTTTTATTTGCCTGGTTATATATTAATACTACCTTTTGATACATTTTGGATTCTTCCAATCCATAACATTTTCTTTCTTCCTTTGTGTCTTTCTTTCCTTTTCTTTCTTTCAATCTAAATCTTTTTTCATTTATTTCTGCAGGCTTTTTTGTTACTTTGATTTTAGTATTCTACCCTCTTTCTTCTTCTTTGTTCTTTTTCTTCATATGATGGCTGGAGGGCTCCTTAATGGCAAATATCATAATGAAAATTCTATTCAACCTCTTTGGTGGGATGGAGAATCTGGTTCAGTTCCAGAGAACTTGCCTAATATGCACAAGTGGTTTGATTCCTAGTGCCACAAGAAAGCAAAGCAAATGAACAAAGAAACAATTAGTGATTTATCTTTCTTACGAAGTCTAAAATTTTAATTGTTGTTCATTTTTCATACATTTTGCTATATCTATATGCTGTTTGAACTACTATTTATTTAGCATTTATATCTGTCTCCCTGCACATATTTATTTTGTGTTGGTCCTGGGGCTTAACCTGAGGACCTGGTTGCTGTCTCTGAACTTTTTGCTCAAGGCTAGTACTCTGCCACTTGAGTCATCGCTCTACTTAAGGCTTTTTGGTGGTTAGTTGGGGTTAAGAGTTTCACGGACTTTCCTGCCTATGTTGGCTTTTAAGCACTATTCCCAGAGTAGCTAGGATTACAGGCGTGAGCCGTCAGCTTTGGTATTTATTTTTAAATAGACTGTAGAATTCATCCTTATTCCAAGTTAATGCCCATGGAATTATAGGTGGTTTTTAAAATATGTGTTTGTGCTGGTCTTGAGGCTTGAACTCAAGGCCTAGGCGCTCTCCCTGAGCTTTTTGGAGTTTTTGGTGATTAATTGGAAATCAGCGTCTCATAAACTTTCTTGCCTGAACTGGCTTTGAACTGCTATCCTCAGATCTCAGCCTCCTGAGTAGTTAGTGTTCCAGTTGTAAGCCACTGGCACCCAGCTGGAATTACAGTTTTAATATGCCAGACCTCTCGCCCCCCCCAATACATAGTAAAATATATGCCTATTAAGCGCTTTTAAGAAGGGTATCCTTGTATTGTTTGTTTACCTGATCAGTCACTAGTAATATGCATCCCATGCTTGGGAAAAATGTAGTCTACTGGGTGGGTTGACCTCTGTTTCTTATCTTGTTCTTTCTGGTCTAATTATAATGAGTTTTTTTTCCTTCTTAATTCTACAAAGGAGTTGATTGTGCTATTTCTAACTCATGTATATAATGTACTTTGATCATATTCACCCCTTCTCTTGTTATCCTATCCTTTTTTCTTTTTTGCAATTTTTAATGAGTTTCATTATTATGAATCTTTGGAGATAATTATTTTTGTTCTTTCTAATCTTTGACCTTTGGGTTTGCTTTTCCTTTTGTTTTCTCCATTTGACTCATTCTTAGAGTCTCTCTTTGAATGGAAATATTTGTAAAGACTTTTCCTTAGCCATAGTTGACTAGGTTCCTATCTCCTTATTGTAAATTCTCAGAGTATTCCATTTTTTCTCCAGATATGGGCAACTTATCCAGATCTCCACTTAGTCCAGTTAGGTCTCCAGTGTCTTGCATAGTTTTTTTTCTCCTCCAGATAATGATTGTATGAATGAACACAGGCAGAAACTTGAAAGTCAACTAAATCTCTAAAAATAAATAATTTGACAATTTATTTTTGATGTAACATATGATAAAATCATTAAAACTTGTGTTTGTGGGGCTGGGAAGGTGGCAGTGGTAGAGTGCTTGCCTTGCATACATGAGGCCCTGAGTTCCATTCCTCAGCACCACATCAGCAGAAAAAGCCGGAAGTGGTGCTCTGACTCAAATGGTAGAGTGCTAGCCTTGAGCTGAAAAGCTGAGGGACAGCGCTCTGGCCCAGAGTTCAGGCCCATGACCAACAAAAATAACAACAACAAAACTGTGTTTGCAAAAATATATTTCATTTTTAATATGTGATATAATTATAAACATGTATTATATATAAATTATTAACGGAAAAAAATCATAAAAGTAGCATATAATGATTTTATATGCATTACATTTGTTGATAATCTAAATGATGAAAGAGTAGGTGTCTTAAAGCTTTTATTTGACTCTGTCTTCTAGACATTTTATTGTGAATGTATATTAATCTGGAAATCCAAAAAAGAAGTTACTAAATGTATGCCACTGAATTTTCTTCTTTTTTACACTCTAAATACAATTATAAGTCTATACTCACTTAACAATTTCAAGATTCAAAAGGATTTGAAAACTACTTATGCATAACTCAGATATGAGCTCATTTAGACTATTGATTCCAGTTAGGATAACTTTTCCTATGTTTTACTGCAGAAATCATAATGTATATATTACAGGCTGTGTCCTTTACCTTGCTGTTGGTGTTACATAATTCATTAATTTACGTGCTATAGATATCACCCTGCTCAAATTCCCCAGATACTGACAGTGGAACTATACTTGGCCTTGTTTGAGATAAGAGTTTAAGAAATCAGTTACACTTCTAGTAATGTGGAGCTCTCCATGCATTATTTCTATATACCATAAAGAATTTTTAAATAATTATATACTTTGTTTTAAATTTTTTATAAAGATGCATCTTCAAAAATTGGAATCAGCTCACAATCCTCAGCAAATCTATTTTCGAAGAGATGTGTTATGTGAAACCCTGTCTGGAAACAGCTGTCCATTGCTGACTATAACAGCAATGCCAGAGTCTAATTGTTATGAACATATCTGTCAATTCAGTAAGTCTGTCTTCTTCATTCAAAATGTTTATCATTATCATTTACTTTTATTCTGTATATATTTTATAATGGAAATAATACTAAGAATAGGCTTCAAAAGGATTGTCTTCTAATCTTGGTCTTATCACTAGCCACGGACTTATCTCTGGCCTCAATTTCTTCATCTTGAGTGTGAGGAGCCCCCTGAGATGTTAATCATCTTTAGTTTTTAGAAGTTGTGCTCAAGGTAAAATATAACATAATTTGGAGAGTTTATGTAATAATTCCATCAGTTTAGAAATTGATGATTAATTTTATTTATAAACAAAACTGCCAGTGTACGGCTCACACCTGTAATCCTAGCTACTCAGGTGGCTGAGATCTGAGGTTCAAAGCCAACTCAGGCAGGAAAGTTCATGGGACTCTTAACTCCTCCAATAAACCACTCAGCAACCTGGAAGTGGCGGTGTGCCTCTAGTGGTAGAGTGCCAGCCTTCAGCTGAAGAGCTGAAGGACAGCACCCAGGCCCAGAGTTCAAGCCCCATGACCGATAAACACCCCCTCTCCCAAAACTGCCACACACACCCCAAAACTGCCACACAGACACAAAACCAGAAACCTACACACACACACACACACACACACACACACACACACACACACACACACACA